CTCCGCGTCGCCGGGGGCCTCGCCGAAGCCCCGGCAGACGACGAACGCCTCCGGCGACGCGGAACGGCTGCACCGCGGTTTCGCGACGAAGACGCTCCGGAAGTGTTTGCGGAGCGACTCGAGGAGCGCCGTCGCGTCGCGGCCCCGGTAGACCTTGGACACGAAGCAGCCGCCTAAGAAGGGCGGTTCCCGACGTCCGGAGGCGGCGCGCGCCTCTCGTCCGCGAGCCGCTCGCGTCGGAGTCGCGTCGCGCGTTTCGCGGCCCCGGCGGCCGCCGCGCGCGAGGATCGCCTCCGCCATGGACCAGGCCTTGCGCACGAGCTCGTTCTGCAGGTGCTCGTCGACGTCGTTGAGGCCGATGACGTCCGGCGCGCCGTCGCAGAGCACGACCTAGGATCGGCGCGCGTCGCGCGGGACCGCGGCGGACGTCGAAACACGCCGCGCCGCGCGTCCGCGCCGCCGCCGAGCGCGTCGACGACCTCGCGCGCCGTCGCCGCGGCCGTGATGTCGCCGAGCACCATCTCGACGCCGGCGATGGGCGCGATGGGCTTGAGGTCGACGGCGACGACTCTCGCGCCGGGCCGGCGCTCCGCGACGACCTGCGACCAGCCGCCCGGCGCCGCGCACAGGTCCGCGACGCGGAGTCTGTCGTGCGTCGTCGCGGTGGAGAGGATGCCGAGCGTCGCGTCGAGCTGCAGCAGCTTGAAGGCCGCGCGCGCGCGGTAGTTCGACGTCTTCGCGAGGCGGTAGTAGATGTCGCGCTTGTCTCGGGAGGTGCGGCCCATATTGTGCGCTCCTTCTTCTTCGAGGGCTGTGCGGCTGTGCGTGCACAGCAGGGCTTGCTTGCACGGCTGCTAAGCTTTGCTATTACGGAGAGCCATGTGCTCTCCGGAGTTAGTGAAGCGTGGGCATCACCACACTGGGCATCACACACCTGAGCATCACACTCACACCTGGGCATCACACCAGAACTGGGCATCACACTCGCCCGAGGTAGTCTGTACTAGATGGCTACTACATCATCGGTAGGCGACGTCCCAGTGGATTTCCAACTGCCGCGGCAGGGAGGCGCGCGGCGCGGCGGTCACGATGACGGTGGCGACGACCTGGTAGTCCTTCCGCCAGGGGACGCCACCCCGCACGCGGCGCGCGAGGCGTCGCAGCTGCGGCGATCGTTCTTCAAATCGGACCTCGGCGCGACGACCGCGATGAGCAGGTGCGAGCATTCGTTAAAACTCTCAAAAAAAGAAGTCATCGCCATTGGGCCGCCCCGCGCCCCTGCGCGCGAGAACCCCGCCGGCATAGACGCCGGAGAACGTGTCGGAACAACCGCGCGTCGCCGCAGTGGCGCCAGTCCTCGACCAGACGCCTACCGCGTGGCAGCCCGACCCGCGCCGCCGCCGCCGCCCACGGCCCGACGAGGGCTGCCCAGCGCGCACCGCACGCCGCGGGCGCCACGCCAGGGCCGCGACGAGCGCGACCGGAAGCCGGCACGCCGTCCGGCGCAGCCTCTGGGCCGGGCCATAGCATCGGAAATCGGTGCAGTAATAGCAACGTCCGATCGGGTGGCAGAAACAAGCCTGCACGTTTGTTTGACTCCGGGTTGCACTTTAATCTTCGCCGCTCGGCCCAGGCCAAAACCGTTGTGACACCGAGCATCACACCCGAAAACACGCGGACCGAGGGTCACACTGGGCATCACACCAACACACCTGGGCATCACACCTGAGCATCACCCGTCCCTAGCCTTTGTTCCACCGTCTAGCCTCTGCTATGGGAATGAGCGGTCTTTCCAGACAAGAGCAAATGCCCCAGCCAGATGCCAACTATGCTCCGCAAACTTCAAATGGAACGACTACTGAGTACTTTTCCAAGTCCAACGTGCTTGCTACTTTTAGGTCCTTTGGTCGCTTGTCGTCTGATTATGATGAATTCAATAAGACTAGGACGGTACCTCTAAATTATGCTTTGGACCACCCTTGGGAAAAGAACTTTTTCAGTAAAGACTCAGCATCTCTTGATGGGAAGTGCCCAGCATCAGACTACA